AATTAAGATTTTGTTTTGTTCTGTGGTGTCAAACATATGCTTTCCGAAACACTTGCATCTAGGGATTTTATGGTGCTTTGTGGTGTGTGTGTTGTTTTGTGTTTTGTGTGTCGTTGTTGTTGCTGTGGTGTATGTCGTGTTGGTTGTGTGTTGTGTGTTGTTTGGTGTGTTCTTTGTGTTTGTTTGTTGTTTTGTTGTTTTTGTTGTTGTGTTTGTGTGTGTTCTGTGTGTTGTCTGTGTGTGTGTGTTGCGTTTGTTTTGTTTCTGTTGGTTTTGTGTGTTGTGTGTTGGTTTGTGTGTACCTCTGTGTATGGTGCCCGTCAGACATACTTACATTTTGAACTATTGTTGAATACAAACATTGATCTAAATTTCGTTCTTGAAAATCGACTGAGCCGTTTTGAGTCAGACTATTCTCTGTACAGACTGAATTTGCGTGCCGTTGACTCCTGGACCAGGAATCAACACGATCGGTTTCGCCGAATGAGGGGTGACGAAACTGTTGATGAGCATTATGTAACTGGTCAGAGCCCCACCTGAGTCACCGCGTACATAGCAAAAAAAAGATCCACAGCCCCCCGTCAGTGGTCGAGGTTGGCCGAACGCCAGACACGTGTTTTGTAACTGAAACATTTCAACATTTTTATCTAAATGCAGTTAAAACTCACTCTGTTTCATATAGTCTTTTAATTCTGTATTACAGTGGCTCAAGTAGAACCCTGAACCCCGCGTTTAGCTGAACTCTGCACAGTTTCCTCCTTTTTCCTGATGACAATAAAACCATTCTTAAATAGACCGCAAAAGAAAGACAGAAAACGTTCCTGCCTTTTAATGAATGTTCACGAAACACCTCGGCTATCAATACCACATCTCTACAGTACTTTGATCCTCTGCACAACAGCCATTATATACCCACACAAACGATTTACAAGAAACCAAAAGCATCATGATTGTTTTCAAAGTACGTATGGATAACAAGTTACAGCAAATGTACTAAAGATTAAAAGTCAACAAGTACTCATTATGCAAACTGACGTAATTGAGCCTCCCTAAAACGTTCTAAAGATGATCGTTTTTACCTTATAACACAAATAATCATTTACAAGTTATATCATTGACAAGTACACGTAAATCCCATCAGAGCTAAAAGTACCTGCTTAATCTATAACAACATTAATTCTCTTCCAACGGCTCGAGACAGCAGCAAAAGTTTCACTGAGTTAAAAATCCTTGTAGGGATTTAAATTGTACAACAAAGTCTTCTAATGGTAAGAGCAGATGATATCTCCTCAGTTCATCGTACCCCCCCCCCAGACCCACACCGTACAGCGACCGACACCAGACCCACACCGTACAGAGACCGACACCAGACCCACACCGTACAGCCAAGATACAGTCAGCAGGACAACCCCAGTTAGCTTAGCTACAGTTAGCTAGCTGGATGCCTAAACTAAAATTAGATTTATGTTTTGTCTAATTTATTTTAATAAAACAAATGCTAAAATTGACCATCAATCAAAGTAAAGGCTGCTAAAGACTGTGTCTCAACTTTATTTAAATCTCTGTGAATCTAGTTTGATAAATAATTTGACACTAAACATTGTTCTCAGTTCAGTTCAATAAAAAAAAATTGATTATACATTTATTTAAAGAAATGTTTGGGTTTTCTTGTCTGCAGACTTCATTGAACCCTTTTCTGAAACTATTACTACTGATGTTAGTCGCACTTGCTAACCCTGCAGTACCTGTGTTGTCCTGCAGGAGGCGGCACTTAGGGCCTTCTACATCCCCGACGAACCTCAGGACTACGAGCTGCAAGAGCTCGGCGGTTTGCAGCGTCCCCATAGCGACGACATCCTCAACCGTAACAGTGGTTCAGACAACAGGGGCTCTCTGAAGGACGGCGGTGAGGCCTGGCTGCTGAGGGCCAAACAGCGAGACTCTGAGGTCATCAAGGTGCACAGGTGAGACAGCGGACGCCTTCAGTGTCACTGTCGTTCTACCTGAGTGGTTGCAGTATGTTGATGTCCTCACCTGCTGTGTGTTTTCAGGTCGGGCGCCGCTTTCGTCTCCGTCTCCGTCTCTCAGAGCAGCACGGCAGCTTCAGTCCTTACTGAGGTCCTCAGTCAGCTCCACAAACAGGTGAAACCAAACTGTAAAACCCCACAGTGACCACAGGAAATAGTCTGGTACAGCTAAAATATGTGATGAACGGCATTATAATGAAGTACTGCAGGTCTGCAGAGATTCCTTCACCTCCTCATCTCTAGATTTAATACAACACGTTCGTTTGGTACAGACCACTCAAAATAGTTCTTTAAGTCAAAAATGTAATTTGTGATGTAAAAATGATCATTCCCACTAATCACAAATCATATCTGTCAAAATAATCCTAATATGATGTTTTTACCATATCGTGCTGCCGTACTTGTAACCAGGGGTGAAAGTAGATTAAAGTTCTTGCCCGTACGTCTAAACCCAGCTTCATAGCCTGAACACCCTCAGGGTGTAGAAAGAAATTAGAAGAACAGATTTAAACGATGTCAGTGCTTCGCAGTCATTTCAGAAATCAAAAACAAGAATGGGAACAATAAATCAAACGCACCCTTCCAAGCGCTGCACACGTTCTTATAGCTGTCCGAGTAGTTAGTAAAACTGAACTTCATGAAACATCGTGGAAACGTGGAAAAACCAGTTGGAACAGTTTAATTTTCATGAGTAGCCTAAGCAATTTAAAAACTGTTAAGAACCAATTATTAAGTGCTAATTAAAAATACCTTTGATTGTAGAGGAAAAGCTAATTCCTCTCACTCAATGTACATTTGTTGCCATAACTCAATAAGATTGATAAAAACTGTTGTGTTCATTATTTTTGTTGAGACAAAACATTTGTTTTTACAGTGCTGATGTGCAGATCGTAGTCATAACGCCATAAAAATGATAAAATTCTGATTAATAGCAGCTGGTTGCAGGAGGGTGAAAGTGTCTCCTCATTATGAGACGCTGTGCGTATTTAATGCACGAGGCACAGCAGCGTCTTCATCGATTATTTAAGTCTCCTGACACAGCGACAGATCAGTCAGGATCTGATGTTAATGAATGTTCTTCTGCACACAGAGAAACAGTCTGCAGGATAACAGCCGTCAAACTCCATCAGAGCTCTCGTAACAAGTTATTTCAGCAGCTAAATGTTTCATTCTGTTCCCTCTGTCAGCCTTTATGACTACAGTTTTTATCTTTGCTGCTTAAATATGAATATTTGCTGCAGTGCGGTACTGCGCACCTGGAAACCTTTACAATGGCTGACAGCAGCTGGAAAGCTCCTACTGCTTTAATACAGCCTACAGGGACCCGTAGAGGGAGGGAAACGTTGATAGCTGTGGGCCTCGAAACCGGAGAAAATTCTCTCAGAAGGATGATTTAGGATCCGTACGGATTCGGATGATGCCAGAGCCGATCTGTGCACAAACACTGGAACAGTTTAAACAAAGACAACGAACTGACCTTAGTGCTTGTGCCATTAGTTCAGCCAGCAGGCAGTTTTTAGTTTGTATATTTTGATATTATTATAGTTATTATATATTATATATTATTTATCATAAAAATGGAACCAAAATGTTGATTATAAAAACAGAGTCAGCCCAATCACTACAGAACTTTAAAATACTGTACAGTCTCATTTTAAATGTTAATTAAAGAACTTTCCTTCCTGCAGTCATTGTCGAACGCCAGCATTAATACAATTTCTTTATTTTATTTTAATGCCGTTGTTCAGTCTGCGTACATCTTCGTCTCCATCTGCCTCAGTTATTTCATCTCCTCTGTAACCTGCATAAGACAATGTGGGTTTTGGCAGGCAGCTGCTGTCCCCTGTTTCCAGCACTGCGAACCAGCACTGAATCTTTTAGTGGTATGGTGCACCAGACTGTACCGGCCTACTTTCACCCCGGCTTGTACCCCAGTGGATACTTATGCAGTGGGTAGGCATGGGGTACGTGAATAGATTGTGGAGTAAATCAACTAATTTGAATTTGAATGACAGTGTACGTTGTAATGTTTTGGAAGCACAAATGTACAAGTTGAGATCTTTCCTCAATAGAAAATGTATGACTGCCGTCTAATTCTGTCTCATGTAAGTTTATTTAGTGAGACAGTGAACGCCACACTGCTCCTGATGTGTGTGTTTATGGACAAAGAGAGATCAGTCGGTGTAATGTAACCTCTGTGAGATCCAACCGCTGCCACTGAGAATGAATGAACCTTCAGTGTCCATCAGAGCTCCTGCTGATGACTGCGTGTTGTTTCAGGAAGAAGACGCGTCCAGTTTCAGCCTGCTGGAGGTCTGCATGAGCAGCAAGCAAGGTGAGCAGTAAGGTCAAGTGTTGCTCATTTTACCTTCAGATCATCATAACTTCATTCAAAGTGGACAGAAACAGAATAAAACTCATTAAAACCGTCTCTGTTAGTGTTTCAACAATCTGGTGGAAATAAATCCTTAATTCACCGACATATATTCATTCAGATTAGATCCAGATTATAATAAGAATGTAATATAAGTTTTAGGTCAGACATTTCAACCTTTCAACGGATCAGATATTAGCATGCTAACGTTGGTTTTTCAGTTAGCCACACAGCAGTTACACTGGCCAGTTAGTGGATGTCAACATTTATAAGATATATAACATCTAATGTTTGTGAGCTGCAACCTGTTTTAATTCAGTAAACACTGAGGTTAGCACGATGCTAATTTAGCATAAGGCTAAACTGAAGAACAGGAGGTCGTGACCTCTCCTCCTTGTTTCTCCTCCAGTTCAGAGACAGACGCTGAGTCCTCAGGAGAAGATTGTGGACAAGCTGCAGGAGATCAGGAAGGTACGAGGAGATCTGACAGACTTTATTACTGCAACTGTTATGATGTTATGCATAGTGCTGAATAAACAGAAATGAATGAAGGGAGGTAAATAAAGTTTATATGACTCCAACCTTCAGAGAGAAGATGTATTCCAGGTGAAATAAACATGCTTTGTCCTCCCAGGCCTCTCTGCGTCAGATGAACCAGACCCGGTTCTACATCGTGGAGAACAGGAACCGAGCGGTGCAGGTCAGCCTGCTGATTGGAGGACTGCCCCCCCTGCTGACCAAAGAGGAGTACGGCCAGCTGATCCAGGAACACCTGACCATCAAGAGTGAGTCTGAGCCGAATCTACCTGAGCTGTAGATCATAACACTTACATCAGACTGCAGTCGTACAGTGGTCGAAGCGGGAAGTAGCTGCAGTCGGCTGGACAGCTTTAATTACAACCTGTCTGATGGGCTGACAGCTCCAGTTTCTGCACTGCAGTGGTGGAAAGTAACTAAGTACTTTTACTCAAGTACTGTACTTAGATATCTGAGAAAGAGTTAAAAACTATTTTGTTTCTGTCCAGTTTGAAGAGTGTTCTACGATTATCTGCTCAGTAAAATTACTGTTTTTTTTTCAATGGAGTTTGGTGGACAGAGTATAGGAAGTATAAGGGAGCATAAAATGGAAATACTCAAGTAAGGCTCAACTCCTCCACTGATTATTCTTAATTCAGTTACTATTAATTGGTTTCTGTATTGGCCGTGAAACAAACACATCGGTCGACCTTCAGTCTCAGTCTTCTGCCTGTTTCTGATTGGTCGGTCGGTTTGTGTGTAAACATCACTTCTTATTGAGGTCAGCTCACAGCGGGACCACTCATCTAACTCCTCTCCCTCCCTCTGTCTGTCTGTCCCTCTGTCTGTCTGTCTGTCTGTCCCTCTGTCTGTCCCTCTGTCTGTCTGTCTCTGCAGGTCACCTGGTCACCATCAGCCACATCTATGCCAGTCAAGGTGAGGCGGTTGTCATGGAAACCACCATGCCAGGTGGATTTTTAAGGTTGCGTGCGGTGCTGTGATCAAATATTTAAAAGTGTCGACGCGTCTGTCCTTAACCAGCTCTGACAGCGTTTTATATTTGCCTTTTTGTTTCTCTTCACGGAGGAACTGCTGCTGTGAGACTCTTTACAGTTCATCATGTGCTCTTCTGGTTCTGTCTAATCTTCAATAAAACATAGAAACACTGTGCATGAAGAAAGGCTGAAGCACGCCGACCTACAAACTGTGACCAAACCAAAATAAGAGTTTGATTGGGTGTTTCGCCATCTAGCGGCGCTGCCATTACTGCGCTGACGAGTCGTAGTGACAGCAGCATTGTGGGTAGTTGGACTGACGACGTTATTACTGATAAAGGTTCCTTATATGGAAGGAAATCTTAGTGTTATTCAGATTTTACATATTATGTCTGCCACATTTCAACTGATATACTATATTATATTATATATATATACTGTGTAATACTACAGTAGCTTAATCATCAATTAAAAGTTGTATTTAATCATCACAGACTAGTTATATTAGTAAAACGTTGTCCTGTCTTGTTTCATGTTGGTCCTCTACAGGGACTCATGTTTCTCAGACTCTTCATGAAGTAAAGGCTGTGCGTTGAAGTTGGCCACTATTGTTGGAGCAGCTGATTAACATGATTATTTAACACATTGTTAAAAAGTAACGTTATATAGAAAGTAAACTATTAACTTCTTAGAACAGCTTGCAGTCAAATGTGTGCATACTAGGGAGACGCCGCAGTGATGGAGACTTTTACAGTCGTTTACAGAGACGTTTACTCCTGGTACTTCCATTTGTGGATAGTTATTTTTAATAATCTCATGACCTCTGGCTTACAACCCTTGCTGGTTGGGATCCACAGTTGTAGCTAACACAGTTATTTATTTACATTGAGACTCACTGGTAAACGCTTGATGCCAGATGGGTTTTGTAAACCCTGTCCCCTGTAGAGAGTATGAAGAGTAACTCAATCACGTATTTCTGCTGAAACTCTGTATTTGAGTAATTATTGGTTTTGTTTATTGATTCAGGTCCAAATCTGGACATTTTAGTGCAAAGTATTAAGTATTAAGTATTACGTATGAATATATCTTTAAAACCGTCTCCACTTTGCAGACTGCTACGTAGCTGTTAGACACAGACACCGGAGAGTTAGCCTCTCTGAGCTTAGCTAACGTTACAATAAACAGCGTGAATGTGCTTCTAGTGAAAAGCTCAAGCAGAGTCTCTGTGGTTCCAGTGCGGACACAGAAAGTCTGACAGCAGTTGGTTAGCTCTGTTAGCAGCAGCTGTACTCCTGCTATTGTGAGCAGTGGTCAGCTTTGGAATAGTTTCTGCTTTCACTCAAACGCTGCCCCTCTATTGACACTTTTAAGACAAAACTCAAGACGTACATTTTTCAATGAGTTTTGGTTTCTCTAGTAGTTTTATTCTGTCTCCATTTAAAATATTTGATATTGCTTTATATTTATATATAGTATCTTTTATTGTCAGTTATTGGTGTTGTGTGTTACTACTTCTCAGTGTCCTGTACTTGCTATCGCTGTGCCATGCACTTTAGTCTGTGCAGCACTCTGATTGTTTTAAACGTTTTATATAAGGAAACTTGGATTGATTCAGCAGAATTAAGGTGGTAGTTGTATCACAGTGTGTGTGTGTGTGTTCAGGTGCGGTGGCGTTGCAGATCTCCTGTTTCTCTGAAGCTGAGCGGATCTACATGTTGGCCAAAGACACGACTGTCAACAACAAGACGCTCAGCTCTCTTGTCCTCCCAGAGATCCTGGTAACTGACAGTCACACTGTGTGAAATTTGTGTCACTTCATATGTCCCCACTCTGACTCTGAGGTTATACTTTCTGTCTGTCAGCACAACGAGCTGGGAGACGACATCTGTCCCCTGCTGGTGTTCGTCAACCCAAAGAGCGGCGGTCTGAAGGGAAGAGAGCTCCTCTACAGCTTCCGGAAACTTCTCAACCCCCACCAGGTCTTTGACATTTCCAATGGAGGACCGCTGGCTGGGTGAGAGCCGCCGACACGCCTGGAACTCAAATAATCAGAATTTTAAGCATTAAAATATCTTAAATATGATTTGTATGTAAACACACTGCAGATATGTTTAGCTGATCTGCTGCTCAGACTGTGAGAGGACATCAATCATCAAGATATTATGATGAAATACATTTTTCTGATGTTTTCCTCTGGTCCAGCCTCCACACGTTCCGGGAGGTTCCCAGGTTTCGGGTTCTTGTCTGTGGGGGTGATGGGACGGTGGGCTGGGTGCTGGGAGTACTGGAAGCTGTCCGGCACAAACTGGTCTGTCGAGAGCCGCCCATCGGCATCGTGCCTCTGGGAACAGGTCAGACCAACACGACTTTAAGTTCATCACTTCAGCAGCTGTTCTTCAGTTTAAAGTTAGCCTCATGCTAACATCAGTGTTTACAAAGGTTTATCATCACTAAATTAAAACAGGTTGCAGCTCGCAAACTAATTCTTACATAGAGATTAGTTGTTGTTGATTAGGACGTTTACAAAGATGAATCTTTTAGCTTCTAAAACTGTAGCTTTTGGAAGTTATGCTAGCTAACAGTGACTTCCTGTTTACATAGTTGATTGGACAGAACTACAGATGTTTCCTAGCAACAGATTAACACATTAAAGTCATCACGTCATTTTAACCTGATTTACTTGAGTTTTAAAGAACTTAGTGAAGGACTTATAAAGACCTGCTGGGACTCAAGAGCCCAACTAAAACCAGGTCTAAAGTCCGTCCCGTCTCGACAGGTAACGACCTGGCTCGTATCCTGCGCTGGGGAGCAGGTTACAGCGGCGAGGACCCCCACCACATCCTGGTCTCTGTCGACGAGGCTGACGAGGTTCTGATGGACCGATGGACCATCCTGCTGGACGCCCAGGACATCTCTGAGGACGGCAAGGACAACGGCTTCCTGGAGCCACCCAAGGTCCGTTATCTCAAGTCAACTAACTAAATCGTATTGAGCCACCGCTGATGTCTTTATTTGTGAGAGTCACAGAACAGAGACTGTCCCGTAGACAGAAGGAGAATCAGTGCACCATCAAGTCATTTATGGCGTATACGTTTTTCTCAGCCAAAAACCAGTCTGTTCTTTATGGAAGCAAGTTTCTGACAGTTAAATAGAAAAAATGATGAAAACGTAGCCTTGATAATAAAGTCAAAGATATTTTAATTATCTCATAAATTTCCCTTTTAATGTCATAATTTCAGCTTTTTATGTCATAATTTTGACTTTACATGAACATTTTCTCATAACTTATTTTTCCAAATAATTTAAACTTTACACTGACTCTACAGTAAATGTTAGCTTAGATTAATATTAATTTATTAATAAGAGTTTTTGTGTTTTTATTACCTTAGAATGAGACGTTTTTATCCTCTGCTGGCGGAGTCCCGCCAATGTTGAACCGCCATGTTTCTACAGTAGCCCAGAACAGACAAACCAAACACTGGTTCTAGTTAAGTGGGTTCTCCCACATACTTAGAAAAGAAGGGTGAAGTGTCTAGTAGCACCCACTAGATGTCACTAAATCCCTACACAATGGATCTTTTGTCACATTTTATTTGATGAAATGAAATTAATATGCCGTTCATATACAACTACATGGAACTGTAGATATAACTGTTACTGTAACAGGTGTAACTGTCTCTTAATCTGTCAGATTGTGCAGATGAACAACTACTTTGGTCTCGGCATCGACGCAGAGCTCAGCCTTGACTTCCACCAGGCCCGAGAGGACGAACCCGATAAATTCACCAGCAGGTAACTTCTGTCCACTTCGGTTTGTTCGGACACAGCTGACACACGTTTCTACAAATATAGACTTTATTTGAAGCCCCACCTACAGAAACACAGACTTGTTGCTCTCTTCCGTTGTGGTGTTGTTCTCTGATTCCTCTCAGCCACCGTACTCACCTGCTCCCCCCACAGGTTTCATAACAAAGGAGTGTATGTGAAGGTCGGCCTGCAGAAGATCAGCTACAGCCGGAGTCTCCACAAAGAGCTTCAGCTGCAGGTGGACGGTCAGAACGTCCCCTTACCCAACATAGAGGGACTGATCTTCCTCAACATCCCCAGGTAACACACACACCTGTACCGGGTCGGCTACCTGCGGAAAAACGTTGTGTAACTGGTAAAAAAATATATTTATATAAATTTGCGGGAGAGAACGAAAATGTTGTGTTTAACATGTCACACCTATAATTGTAAAAATCTGACTGTGTATAGCACGGGTCGGATAGCGGGTCTTATATTAACGGGCCGGGTCTGGATCTGACTTATCTACCTGTGTGTGTGTGTGTGTAGTTGGGGCTCTGGTGCTGATCTCTGGGGGTCAGAGGTTGATGGTCGCTATGGGAAACCAAGCATCGATGACGGGCTGCTGGAGGTGGTCGGGGTCACCGGGGTCGTCCACATGGTGAGTCCTAATAAACAACAACGTTCTGACTCAAGGGTCACTTACTTCTTTCAGAGCTTTCAACCATGTGTGTGTGTGTGTGTGTGTGTGTGTGTGTGCAGGGTCAGGTGCAGAGCGGGATGCGTTCAGGGATTCGTATCGCTCAAGGGAACTACATCAGGCTGACTGTGAGCAAACCCATACCTGTCCAGGTGGACGGAGAGCCATGGATCCAACCGCCGGGACACATCATCATCTCTGCGGCAGGACCAAAGGTACCGTTTGTCCCTGCAGGGCATCCGTAGCCTTTCTTCTTTTGTTTGTAGCTTTTCCGACAGAGGAACCCATACTCTCTGGTGTATTGTGTGTTTTACCTGTAGTTTATGTGTATCTTGTGTATATTATGTGTATTAATGTGATTTATGTTTAATTTGGTATATCCTGAGTAACCTTTACTTAATCTGTAGTTTGGTGTATGTTGTATACATGTAGTATATACATGTGCCTGTAGTTTGTACACTGTGTGTGTACCTCTAGTCTACCTGTAGCTGAGTGTATATAATGTGTGTCCCTCTGCTGTGTCTGAAGGTCCGGATGCTGAGGAAGTCAAAGCAGAAGCAGAAGAAGTCCTCAGGTGCGAAGGACGGACGCTCTGAGAGTCCGTCCTCCAGAGACGGAGGACACTGACCGACCACCTGGAAATCGGTGTCCTGCCTTCCGCCTGCTTCCTGTTGCAGGAAGCCGTTTTGGCGCCAGCAGCCAGCTGTGGTTTCACTCATGTAGCTTCATAGCGACGCTGACGGGCCGCAGATCGACTGAAGGAGGTCCGACTTTTACAACCTGCACATGGTGGTTCTGGATCACCTTGAGTTTGGCCCAGTTGGGATCACATTTCCATCCTGCTGACCAAGCACTTACTACAGTAACCACGCTCAATATTCAGCTACTAAAATGGACTTTTTTAATTAGAATGCAAGAGTATTTAACCGATTCATAACAGGAGTTCTGCATACATTAACAGAGTTGATATTGAATTTTGACAATTTCTCAGTATGGATAAGCTTTAGAGTTGAAAAAAAAAAAAGTGTTTAACAGAAGTTGTTAAATGTGACTGTATTTGTACAGTAAGTAGCAGTAGACTCAGTGTCAGTTCATATATCGTTATAACTTTAGGTGTAGAAATAATGTGCAGCTAACCTCAATGTCTCAGATTATTTTTGGAGATTATGAAGAAAAATACTGAAGCAGTCCTGAAGAGAAGCTGTAACCACATTTATCTAAACCAGAGATCTTTCTTTTTCTCTCGTGTAAAATTCTTTGGTAACGTTGGTTTCAGAAATTCACGTCGAAGTAAGGCTCTCCAACAAGAAATCTCTGTTTCTCTGAACCTGCAGCGCCCACCGCAAACTGGAAATTTCACACGAGTGAAGGAACTAATTTAAAACATAACGGCTCAGTCTGAGCTGTGGAAAGAAAGTTAAATGAAACTAAACTGTAAACGCCTGAAGCACAGTTTGTATTTCAGCAGATAGAAAGCTTTTACTTTGGCAACAACACAGACTTTATAAGATAAGTTTGTTTAGATCTTAATAAAAAAAAATATATCTTAGACACATTACTAGCTTGGTGAGCTGGTTGTCGAGCTAGCTTGCCAAAACTGAATTATATAAAACCAAAAAATGAAAATTAGGTATATAGATGTCCTAAAATGTGAGAACAAATTGTGGCACTACCATTACAACGCCAGATACTACCTAGAAAACGCAATACAATACTAGCTAAACTAAGCTAGAAACATTAGTTTGCCAAGCTAGTTAGCCAGTTAGCTTGGCAAAACCAAATTAATGCAACAAATTAAGTAGTTTTGGTTCTAATTCTTAATCTGAGGCAGCAAGATCATATTAAACACATTATTAGTTATTTGAAGGAGCAAAATCAGCATCATCAGCTGTAAAATTACGACCATATCTGTGTGATAATGAAGCCCTTTGTACAATATCCTACACTGATCTAAATATTACATTTTATTATCTGATACTGAGCACCAATGCTGTTATCAGTCGACAGCAGAATATTATAGATGTAAAAGCCTGCGTGAGTTTATTTATCCACCTCCAGTAAAGCAAAGATCATCGTTCACGTTGATTGAATTTGGTGCAACATATTTCAGTCTCCCCTTCTCATTAGTGAGCTCTGCCCTTCAACTGCCAGTTTATACTCACTCAGCCTCTGACGGCGGCGGAGGAGGACTTTATGAACTTCGTCCACATTCCTGGAGATGCAGAAGGTCTTTAAAGGACAGTTTCTGGACTGGACCAGGGATCTGAAGGTCCCAGCTCTTCATGTAGCCACAACAGTATTCAATTGCTGTACTTTGGTTGTGATATTTAGTTGTTTTTTTTTAAATCCAAGTTCTGCATTAACTGATTTATTTGGATGTTTTTTGGTGCTAGAAGGTAACAAACAATATGTTGTAGTTCTGTGTTTGACTTGAAATTCAAGGAACCTGTTTTTATTCAAAGTCTCAAACCCAAGTTCATACAAACTGTAGCTTTTATTAATGGGAGGTACAGTGAAGGTTTGTGGCTTTGAATGGAGACAGATCTGAGAATGAGTGCTGATACATCAGTGGCATTAACTGTTAGCTTTCATGGACTGCTGAGCTTCCTCATGAGTCGGGCTGAAGTGGACACTGTGTACTGACAGTATCTCTGTGAGTACTTTGAACTGTACAGATACTGTCACAGTGTTTTATTACATGCATGAAGTACTGTGGTGTTGTGTATTACAGCAGCGTTTTATCTCCTCTTTCTTCCACCGGCTGTTAAACAACCACAACTGCTGGTTTTACATGTTTTATTAACTGTTTAAACTTCACATCTCGCCGATCGTTTTACAAATTATTAATTATTTTGGCCAACGTTGGTTTCAGTTCATTTCTGTGAAAATCAGCATGCAGAGACGTTTAAAGCTAACAGACTGAGGCTAAAGCTAACAGGTGAACACATTATGCCATTTTTCAGAAAATCAAGCAAGAGACAAACTCTAAACAAACACTATAAAAGTAATTTTTAAAATTAGATTTTTTTGCATTAGAAACAACAACTGTAATATCCCACTGTCCTTAAATGCAGCAATGGTCTCAAGTGCTTCACCATCATGTTATAGGGACACTTTTCTTGTCTTTTCTTGTTCACACAGGATATGAAAGTAGCATCTTTTACTTTAATATAAGTTTCATCAAAACAAAACGTGACATTGTTCGACTGTGACGGTTCAGCAGGAAGTGGAATCGATAAATGAACTGAAATCAACGTAAAAACCCACCAGTGTGATCGCAGGTGTGTGAACCGTTTGTTAATGAGCTCCTCAGACCGAAACAAAGTGTACAATATACAGCAGCGTCTCTTTTATGATGTTTGCATTAATTTGAACGGTCATTTATAGGTTATTAAATAGTTAATAACTTAGATTTTACACAAATGTTAGAACTTTCTAGTGGATAAAACTGATAAAATACAACATTTCCTGCCATAAATAGTAATAAGGTCATTGAGTTTAAAAGTTTTTTAGGAACTAACAGTTGACAGAATGTGTTGATGGAAAATGTCAAAAATGGCCAAATTTCTGCTACTCTTACAAAATAATCAACATGCTTTTACTCTGAAAATCGTTCCCTAAAAAGGTGGAAAGGTGGAAAGATACTTCAGTGCTGTGACACTGCAGGTTATGATATTTAAAATGAAATATTCGGATCATAATTTCATGTTTTTAATGTTGCGTCGTTCCTTTAGAGGGAAAATTCTGCATATTTTTAATATTTCCTGAACCCAAAACTATGGAAGAACATTTCTGCCACTGTGATGAAAAAAAAGTATCCTGTAAGTTATTATAATGAGAAAGTTTCTCGTTATTTTCAGATAATCAGTCAACATATTGATTTTCCATCTAAGAAGAAGAAGAAGTCATTATTTCTGTCTGTATTTATTTTAAGATACTAACTCATTAGTATTAATATTAAGTTAAAATATTGAGAATGTTTCTCATTATAATCTCTGACAGGAAACTTTATTTCATCACATTGGCAGAAATGTTCTTCCATAAAAACACAAGATTTTTGAAGAAGCTCAATCGATTTTTCTTTCTTTGTTTTATTGATTTTATTTGTCGCTGAATGTTAAAAACGCTTTAACGTGATTTTTTCTGCTTCTCTGCGTCCCGTCGTGCCTCGTAGCGTCTGACTCACCTGTCCTTATTAAGCCCCACCCGTCTGAACCCGGGCGGTGGTTCAGTCTGCAGGCCGGAGTCCGTGTAGTGCCTCATCCAAACGCTTGGACACCCTCAGTGCTCTGATGTGTGTTAACGTGTGTGTTTCCTGCCGGTGCAGTGGTGTGTTACTGAGCTGATGTGCCTCCAGATGTTCTGTTGCTGTATTCAGTTTTTACCTGAGGTTTTATTGAATAGATGATTTGTATATTTTTGCAGACAGAAGCTGTTTTTTTGTTTTGTTTTTTAGTTTCAACTGTAAAGTTTTAAATGTAAATTGCACTAATTGTTTTACAGATGCTCTTAGATGTGACGTTCAGGTTATTATGAATGTTGTAACAACTAAAGCTAAATATATAGTACATATAGTATATAAAAATATATATATGTTTAAATAACTGATTCTTATGTGTTTAATCATAATAAAGACCATATAAGAACTAAAGATGTCATTATTTCTGTCTGAGAAATGGAGTCAGAGCCTCCAGGTGAAGTTTCTGTTGCTGAGTTCAGGTTTTACTCTCTCACATGTTACGTTCAGCGAATCTCATGTTTAACTCAAACTAGAGACGTCACCTACAGGTTTCTGAAGAGCTGTTGTGGAGCTCAGTGAGGAGCTCAGTGAGGAGCTCAGTGAGGAGCCGAATGGAGCCTGAAAACAGCCGTCTGTCACTCAAAGTGACCACGCCCTTAATTTTGCATAACTTTAATCCTTAATATCATTTAAACAGGTGAGTTGTACAGTCGTCATGAACGGGAAAATTAGCCCTAGAGACCAAAAGGCTGTAAACATGTTTATTTCTGTATTTTAATATGGGGCCTGATGGAGACTGACTCACTGCTGGAGCCAGTCTCTAGTGGACATTAGAGGAACTGCAGGTTGCTGCTCGGTTCCTCCTGACAAACGTAAATGTGTAAAAAATATAGTTTCATGTTTAAAAAGACTACTAGAGCACCAACATCTCAGACTAATGTGATGGCAGCTACAGCCAACCAGACTCCACTGACAAAACCAATAATTTTACCAAATAAATAAATATAAAACAAAGTGGACACAAACTATAAAAACAAACAAAATAAAACTCAACAAAACCGTCTTTGTTAGTCTTTCCAACAATCACCAACTCTGGTTTGGTGGAGATTAAACTGGATTAAATTCCTTTATCTGGAGTATTTTAAAGTCATAAATTAATTGCAGTTAACAAAGAAAGAAACATTTAAATAAAATATTTTATTATTATAAAGGTAAAACATGCATTAATAAAAACACTGATAAATGTGCTGAAAGCAAATAAATAGACTGAACCAACGTTTACAGGGATTGTGAGAAAACAAACAAATACAAACTTCATTTTAAATAACTTATAACATAAAAATTCTACATTTTCTGGCTCAGTCACTTTAAAGTCAAACTTCTGAAATAAAAATCTTAAATTCTTCTGAAACAAAAGTGACCTGTATTATCTGTCTCCTGCCAGGGTGTTTGTGTGGTGCTTGTGTTTGACCAGCAGGGGGCAGAAAGTCAACAATTTACCCCACAGCAAAGATATTTTATGATTGACAGGAGTTCTCACTCTGCACTCTGTCATTTCTTCTCTCAAACATCAGACTGCTGGTGTTCCTCAGGGAACTCTGCTCGGCCCACTGATGTTCAGATACATTATGTCCTTTTATTGTTTACACAGATTTATTATAGTTTTCTATTTTTTATTTGTTTCAGAGTTTCCAGGGTGAGTTTGCTTGTTTACTTTTTATTGTTTAAAAATGTTTAGTTTTAGTTTTTATTATAACATTGGAGGAATTTGTCTGAATAGGTATTATAATACAAACACACTGACAACATATGAACCAACTCCTCCTTGTACCAAAATGACTAAAAGACTAAAAATAAATACATTTATTGTATTTATTTGTTTTTAGTTTTATGTCAGTGAACCAAAATGTATTTTCACACCTACATTTAGTTTAGTTTTCGTTAACTATAATAACCTTGTTAACAAGGATGTTTGATTTTATAATACTTAAAACAACTTATACTTATCTGTGTAACCTGATGTTAGTTCAACTCAAACCGATCACAGCATGAAAGATATTTGAGTAACTAAGTATTTATTGTTATGGTAACTTAGGTAAATGAAGATAATTAAGTTAATTCCATTAACTTAACAGAACTTTTCAGAATAAGAAGTCAGACTAACTTAAATCCATCTTCTTTATACAAATGTTAAAAAAAACAGCCAGAACATATCTGGCAGCCACCGTACAGACGGTAAACAGACAGTAAACAGACGGTAAACAGACAGTAAACAGACGATAAACAGACAGTAAACAGACGGTAAACAGACAGTAAACAGACGATAAACAGACAGTAAACAGACGATAAACAGACAGTAAACAGACGGTAAACAGACAGTAGACAGGCGGTAAACAGACAGTAAACAAACAATTAACAGACAGTAAACAGACAGTAAATAGACAATAAACAGATAGTAAACAGACAGTAAACAGACAGTAAACAGACAGTAAACAGACAATAAACAGACAGTAAACAGACAATAAACAGACAGTAAACAGACAGTAAACAGTCAGTAAACAGACAGTAAACAGACAATAAACAGACAGTAAA